CTTGCTTCTATTTTTTTTTGGCTGTTTTATATCATATTTTTTTTTTTTTTTTTTTTCAATTACTCTTATTTTATTTCATATATTATATAAATTTTTTCATAATGCCTGTCTTGTATCATTTAACTTTGCAAAAGCCTACGGCTATTACAAGAGCTGTTTATGGTAATTTTTCTGGGCCAAGAGCACATGAAATCATAGTAGCAAAAGGACAAGTATTAGAATTGTTAAGAGCAGATAAACAAGGAAAATTGAATTTGATAGTTTCAAAGGATATATTTGGTATTATTAGATGTATATCCACTTTTAGATTAACTGGTAGTAATAAAGATTATATAGTGATTGGGAGTGATTCAGGAAGGTTAGTGATATTAGAATATAGTAATGAAAAAAGTGATTTCATAAGAGTACATTGTGAAACATATGGTAAGAGTGGTATACGAAGAATAATACCTGGAGAATACATAGCAGTAGATCCCAAAGGAAGAGCCTTAATGATATGTGCAATAGAGAGACAGAAATTTGTATACATATTAAATAGAGATAATAAAGAAAATTTAACTATTAGTAGTCCATTAGAAGCACACAAATCTCACTCTATTTGTCATGACGTAGTAGGATTAAATGTAGGTTTTGAAAATCCTATGTTTGCATCTATTGAACAAAATTATGAAATGTTAGATAAACAATCTAACATAGATGATTTAGATTACCCTAAAAAAGGGTTATGTTTTTGGGAAATGGATTTAGGTTTAAACCATGTAATCAAAAAATATACCTTACCAATTGATATTACTGCTCATTTACTTATTCCAATACCAGGTGGTCAACAGGGACCTAGTGGAGTTATCGTTTGTTGCGAAAATTATCTGATTTATAAAAAGGCTGATCATGAAGATATATATTGTTCTTATCCTAGAAGATTAGAAATAAGTGAAGATAAAAATATTTCCATTGTTTGTTGGACTATGCATAGAATTAAAAAGTTTTTTTTTATTCTTGCTCAATCAGAATATGGGGATTTATATAAAATTGAAATGGATCATGAAGATGGTATTGTAAAAGAAATTGTGTGTAAATATTTTGATACTGTTCCTATTGCTAATTCTATATGTGTATTAAAATCTGGTTCTTTATTTGTTGCTGCTGAATTTGGGAATCATTTTTTTTATCAGTTTTCTGGAATAGGGGATGATAACAATGACCTTATGTGTACTTCTAATCATCCCTTAGGAAAAAATGCTATTATAGCTTTTAAAACTCAAAAATTAAAAAATTTATTCTTAGTAGATCAAATATATTCATTATCTCCAATTTTAGATATGAAAATTCTTGATGCTAAAAATGCCAATTCTCCGCAAATATATACCTTATGTGGAAGAGGTCCTAGATCCTCTCTTCGAATTTTGCAACATGGATTAAGTATTGAAGAACTAGCAGATAATGAACTTCCAGGAAAACCTAAATTTATATGGACTATTAAAAAAGACAATACAAGTGAATATGATGGTTATATTGTAGTAAGTTTTGAGGGAAGCACTTTAATACTAGAAATTGGGGAAACAGTAGAAGAGGTATATGATAGCTTACTATTAACAAATGTTACAACTCTTCATATAAATATTCTTTATGACAATTCATTTATTCAAGTATATGATACAGGAATTAGACATATTAATGGAAAAATTGTTCAAGAATGGGTTACACCAAAAAATAAACAAATTAAAGCGGCCTCTTCTAACAATGCTCAAATTGTTATAGCCCTTAGTGGTGGTGAGTTAATATATTTTGAAATAGATGAATCACATACATTAGTAGAAATATTTAGAAAAAATTTAAATGTAGAAGTTTTGTGTTTATCTATGCAACAAATATCAGAAAATAGATTAAGAGCTAATTTTTTAGCTGTTGGATGTTTAGATAATGTTGTAAGGCTGTTATCTATTGAAAAAGATAAGTATTTTAAACAGCTTTCAACGCATTTATTACCAAATAATTCCTCACCACAAGATATATGCATATCTGAAATGAAAGAATTAGGAAATGACAAAGAACGTAATGTTTTATTTTTAAATATTGGATTAAATACTGGAGTTTTACTAAGAAGTATTATTGATCCAATAGCTGGTACTTTAAGTAATCACTATTCTAAATATTTAGGAGCTAAAAGTGTAAAAATATGTCATGTGAATGTAAATAAAAATCCAGCTTTACTAGTTCTATGTGAAAAAACATATTTATGTTATGTTCATCAAGGAAAATATGTGTATTCTCCTTTAAATTATGACATGCTAGAATATGCATCTTCTTTTTATTCAGAACAATGTTCTGATGGATATGTAGCAATATCTGGAAATAGTCTACGAATATTCCGATTTTATAGATTGGGAGAAGTATTTAGTCAAAATATATTACATTTAACCTTTACTCCACGAAAAATTGTGCCTTTGCCATTTCCCTCATTATTTTATGACCATGATTCTTCAGTAGAAGTAGAAAGAAAAAAAAAAATACGTATGTTAGCAATAATTGAAGCAGATCATAATTCATATGATGAAAACACTCAAAAGGAAATACAAAAAGCATTAAAAGATATTAAATTAGATATTGAGGATAAAGAAAATAAAAAAAATACGAACAATGAAGATGATGGAACTGATTCAAATAAACAGAGTGAATTAATATTAAATGATAATTCTTCCCTTATTAATGTACAGAGTTTATCAAATGATTCTAATAAGAATGACTTAGATAATAATAAAAATATCATAAATGAGACAAATGAAGAAGAAAATGAGGAAGAATTATTATATGACAGAATAGGGACTTTTAAGGCAGGAGCAGGTAAATGGGGTTCGTGTATTAAAATTATTAACCCTATTAATTTACAAATAGTTGATAAAATTTCTCTAGAAATGGAAGAAGCAGCATTAAGTGTATGTGCTTGCGAGTTAGAAGCTTTACATTGTTTAATAGTAGGAACTACTTCAAATATGTCTTTGAAGTCTAGAAGTGTCCCTGCAGCAGCTTTACGAGTTTATACTTATGATATAAAATATAAACTAAATTTATTACATATAACCCCTATAGAAGATCAACCTTTTTGCTTTTGCCCTTTTAATGGAAGAGTTATAGCTTCAATTGGTAACAAATTAAGAATATATGCATTGGGTAAAAAAAAATTACTAAAAAAATGTGAATATAAAGATATACCTGAAGCTATTGTTTCGATAAAAGTTTCTGGAGATCGCATATTTGCTTCTGATATAAGAGAATCTGTTTTAATTTTTTTTTATGATTCAAATCAAAATACTATAAGATTAGTATCTGATGATATTATACCAAGATGGATTACATGCTCAGAGATTCTTGATCATCACACTATTATTGCTGCTGATAAATTTGATTCTGTATTTATATTACGGGTATTTACAAAAATTTATTAATATATATATACTTAACTAATTATATTGTGTTGTATGAATAATACATACTATTACGAGTTTATCTTAATTTATATTATCTTCTTTACAATTATTTTTAGAGAAAAATATATTTATTATAATAAATAATTTTTATAATAAGAATTAGTTATGATTCAAAAAAAAAAAAAAAAATGAATATCCATTGTAGATGCTTTTCATTTTTTTTTTCTTTTTGTTATTTTTTTTTTAAGGTACCTGAAGAAGCTAAACAGGAAGAATATGGCATAACAAATAAATGTTGGTATGGTGGAGAAATTATGAATAGCGCTAATAAGAATAGAAAAGTAAAGAAACATAATAAATTTTTTTTTGTGAATTATATTTTTTCTATTTAAAAATTTTTTTTCTTTTTTTTTTTTTTTTAGTTGGAGCATATCATGAGTTTTCACATTGGTGAAATAGTCACTTCTTTGCAAAAAGTGAAATTGTCTCCTACTAGTAGTGAATGTATAATATATTCCACTATTATGGGTACCATTGGGGCTTTTATTCCCTATGATAATAAAGAAGAGGTATATAATAAAATTAAGGAAAATAACTTAAAACAATTTAATAAATTATAACTCTATTTTATATAAAGATAATTATAAAATTTTATTTTTTTTTTTTATGAATTTTTTTCTTTTATTATCATAATTCTAACTTGCAATATTTTTTCTTTTTAGCTGGAATTGACGCAACATCTAGAAATAATTTTAAGAACCGAAAAACCTCCCTTATGTGGTAGAGAACATATATTTTTTCGTTCATATTACCACCCTGTTCAAGTAAAAATAAATTAAAAAAAAAAAATAAATCAAAATATAATATGCTTTGTTTTTTATATATAAATAATCTTTTTTAGCCTTTTTTTTCTTTTATTAATAATTTGTTTTTTTTTATGCTAAATGCTTTTTCAAAGTTTTTTGTCTTTAAAATACTTTATATACAAACTATTTGTACACACATTTATATGTTATTATTAAATTTATAGCATGTTGTTGATGGAGATTTATGTGAACAATTTTCAAGTTTATCCTATGAAACTCAAAGAAAAATTGCAGCAGATTTAGAAAGAACACCTGATGACATTTTAAGAAAATTAGAAGATATCAGAAATAAAATTTTGTAAATTAATATTTTAATACTTATTTTAAATTTTCCATTTTATTAGATATTTTTAAAATAAAATGTAAAGCAAAATAATTTTGAAAATTTTATTCACAATTTTAAATTATGCTTTATTTATTTTAATATACATACTTTTTAATTCATTATATCTAAATATTTACATATACGAATGCACATTCTTTTTTCTTTTATTATATGATTAAATAGTAGATATAACTTTTTAGTGTTTTTAATGCAATAAAAAATTATTATAATTTTAAAATAGCTCTTATAATTCTTTATTTTTAATATTCATAATAAGCAAAATTAAGTGCTATATAATATAAAATTATAAAAAAATTTATAATTTATTTTTTATAAAATTGTTTTTAATGCTATAAAAATAATATAAACAGAACTACAACATTTTAAATATATATAATCTTTTTTAATATAATCTTAGGAGTAATTTTTTTTTTCTTTTATAAGATAAATATGTTTTCTAAAATAATTTTAAGGAATTTTATGAAAAAATTAAAAAAATAATGTACTATAAAATAATTGTAAAATTTGAGTGTTTTAATAATATTTTATTCTATATTAAAAAAAAAAAAAATAATAAATAAAAAATTAAATGAAAAAAATAATATATATATATATATAAAAAAAAAAAAAAAAAAAAAAAAAAAAAAAAAAAAAAAAAAAGGAACAATTTTTTCTTCAAAAAAAAAAAATATTTTTATTCAAAATAATTTGAAAAAATTTTAAAAAAATAAAACAAATAACATTTATTCCATTATCATTTTATATTTTAATTTTATTTATTTTCAAATATAATTTTTTTTTTTTGTCACATTTTAAAATATATATTTTATTTAATACATCATGGGACGCTCATCAAGAAGCCGATCAAATAGTTTAAGTAAGATTAAAAATGAAATATACAATTTAAATTTATATATATATATATTCATATTATTTATATTGTTATTATATATATTTTAAATTATTGAAAATTATTTTGTAAATATTATTTTGTTATTCTTATGCTTAAATACAGTAAACACTTATAATGAGCAAAAAATATATATAAAATTACAAATTTCTAATATATATTTATGATTCGTTAATAAATTTCTAAAATATATACAGAAAAAGATAAACATATATTTAATTTATATATACAATTTATATTTTGTAGAATATAAATTTTTTATAATAATTTAATTTATTTAATTGTTTTCATATTGCATTTAAAGTTTTTTATTTATATAAATATATTCCGTGAATGGAACTTTTATATTTCAAATGTTATTAGTGTGTTTTATTATTTTTTTGAAATTAATTAACATATAAATCTTTTTCGTATTTTAGGTACAAGATCATCTTTTGTTAAAAGATCTGGTTCTAATGATATGAATAGAAGAAATAACACTAGCGCACAAAATTATTCAGGAAATTTAATGCAACAACAAAATTCTGGAAAGTCAGGTTTTTTATCAAATATGATGGGAACTGTAGCTAGTGGTATGGCTTCAGGTGTTGGATTCGGAGTAGCACAAAGAGCCGTTGATTCTATTTTGGGACCAAGACATGTAGAAGTTTCACACACAAATAATAATTCACAGATGAATCAGTCAGCAGCAATAAGTAGTGAAAGAAATAATTTATACAAATGCCAGCCATATATGGACGAGCTAAATCAAGTATAAAAAATATATATATATATATATAATTATTTCGTATTTATTTTTTATTATAACGTATTTTTTTTTTATCAAATATTATTTTTATTCATTAACTTTTTTTTGTATTTTTTCAGTGCTTAATGAGACATTCTGATGTTAGTTTATGCCAAAATTACGCAGATTCGTTGAAATCATGCCAACAATCAATGTAAAATGAAGATATAGATATAAAATGTTAAAAGAAAGTATTATCAATAAAAAAATTAAAAGTTTTAATAGGAATGAAAAATATAAAATTTTATAACTGTTATAAAGGCAATTATAAATTAGTATCCACATATTTTTTCTAATTCACGTATATTTTTTTTTTTTTTTTTTTTTTTTTTTTTTTTTTTTTTCAATAGTGACTTCAATTATTCACTGTAATTTTTTATTGTATGCTATTGTAATAATAAAAACGTTTTTTTTTTATAACAAAAATTCTTATAACAATTATGACAAACATTCAAATTTATAAATATTTATAGATATACATTAAGAAATATTATTTATAATATATTGTTTGCACTTTTCTTTCAGTCTTTTTTTTTACTTTTAGATGATAAAAAAATAAAAAAAAAAAATATTAAAATTTATTTTTTTTCTAAAAGAAACAAATAAAGTTAAATTTATAGGAATATTATATATATGCATTGTTAAGTTTTTAGCTATATACTGTTTTTTTTATTATTTGAAAATTTCTTAAATGAAAAGTTTTTTCCCTAATAGGACATTTTATTATTTTTCTTTATTTAAAATATATAATAAAGATAGAAAATGAATAATATATATGAATATTTTTTTCAGGAAAAAAATAAAAATATACAATTCTCAAATGACAAATTAAATGATTTGCTACAAAACAAGAAAACAATAAAAATTAGTCCACAAAAAGGTTTTGTCATAAAAACTTATGAAAAACAAGGTGGAAAAGTATACTTCAATATATGTGCATCTAATTTAATTGCTGAATTTCATTTAAAAAAAATTCCCGATTTAAATAATGAAGAAGGATTGAGAATACCTTTAAGTATAGGTGAAGAAAAAAATAAAGAAGATAAAAAGGGAAATAAATACAAAACATATGATATTGTTCTTAATACAAAAATTGTTATAGAAAGCAAAAAAAATTTAGAATTAAAAAAAATTATAGCTGAATTAGTTCAGGTAGCTGTAAAAAATAAATATAAGACAGAAACTTGTGCAAATTTGTTTTTTTTTCCTGAACATAAATATAAAGGTAATATTATTTATATATTTTTAAACGTCATTTATACAGTAATTACATTGTGCTATAGTATCAGCATTTATTTATTTTTTTTTTTTTATCTAAATTCATTTAATAATTAATTTTATTTTTACTGTAGGAAGCAATCCAGATGATCAATATATAAAAGATGATCAACAGCATAAATTTAATATAATAGAAGAAGGACATGAAGATGAAAATAAGAAGAATGATAAAAATCATATTAGAGAAAATAAGGAAATTGAAAATTATTTAACAATTAAAAAACCTGAATGGGATATGTGGTTCATCAATAAAAATATAATAGAAGAAAAGTATAAAACAATGAATGAATTTTATATACCTTATATACGTAAGTTCCCATTAAAAGATGTAATTGACTGTTTTGATTATAAACCTCCTTTTTTAAAATGCAAAAAAAAAAAGGAACAAAAAAAAAATCAAATATTCAAATCATTTTTGAATGAATATAATATTGAATTAGATGATGAATTTTTATCATATGAAAAAATAATAAATACAATATGTGTTATTCAAATCCAACTTCCTTTTTTTCTTCTTGCTGAGCACAATAAAAAAAATAATAACAGTACATTTGTTATCTCTCAATTTGTTAATCTATATATATGTGATGAATTTTTAAGTGTATTTTTTAAAAAGTAAAAAAAGAAAAATAAATAAATATAATAATTTTAGGAATTTAAAATTTTTTCATTTAAATAAATATATATATATATATATATAATTATATTTTTTCAGGTCTCCTTTATTTCCATTAGAATATAATCCCCCTTATAAAAATTTTAATATTCGTTTTCCTTTTTATTTTGAATCATCAAAAGCGAAATCTCATTATCTGGAAAAGTATCATCTTTTAAATATTATAATACCGGTTAGCAAAAGTTGTGCCAGCTCTGTAATATTTAAAGACGTAATTGAGAATTCTAAGGACAACTCATCTAATTACAATGATGAAACAAGTGATAGCTCTATATTTTAATAATAAAAAAAGGTAAAAAAAAGAAACAAAATTTTCATCATCCTATTGGATAATAAAAATAAATATAATTATTAACACTTGAATTACAGATAAAAACATGAATCCATTCCAATATTTTAATTATAAAAAGTAAATAACATTAATATTTTTTATAAGATAATATATTTTTATTTTTTTTTTTAGTATTTACAGTTCAGAAGTTATACATATATATTTTACTTTATTTCATTATTATCAATTATTTCTTTTATTCTAATAATTTTATTAATTTTTTTATAGAGATGATAGACTATAAATAATGGAATGAAAAAAAAAAAAAATAACATTTTTTGTAGATAAGTTTTTTTTTTTTTAGTTTCATTTTCTCTTGTTAACTTTAAAAAAAAAAAAAATAAATAAATTTATATCATCATAAATTTTTTTTTTTATTAAACTTAAAAATACAAGGAAAAATAATAAAAAAAGAATTTACACTGTTATTCATTTATGTTTAGGTACTATTTATTTTTAAAAAAAGTTATGGCTTCATTAGTATATAACATACTTTTAAAAAATTAATTATAATTATACTTACATAAATACAAAAAAAAAGAAAAAAAAAAGAAATAATATTTTTTTGAATTATTTTAATTAATACATCTACTTTTTTTCTTCTCTATTATTTTTTTCATTGTCACTATCATACATTGGATCTTTTTGATCTATTGGCTTTTGTTCGGTTAATGATATATCTGTCGTATTACCTATAAAAAAAAAAAAAAAAAAAAAAAAAAAAAAAAAATAATAATATAAAAAAATATTCTAGTTTTGTACAATGTTTATTCTTTTTTTCAGAATAATAAATAAAAAATAAAATTGAAGTGGATAAATCATTTATTTATATTTTTAATATTTTTTTTTTTTAATAAAAATATACCCCAATTAAATTTTCCTGTTCCTGCACGAACACTTGAATCACCATAAGCAGGTGTCTTTCCTGCACTGTGCCTCTCTAAGCGTATATTTTTATCTTTATTTGAATTTGCCATGTTTTTCTTTTTTTAGAAAAATTTTTTTTTCTTACGAGATGTAATATAAAAGAAATTGTTGTATGTGTATAACGTGATTAAAATTTAAAATTATTTGAGGTTTGAAAAAAAATTATATCTTATAAGGTTTAATTGATTTAAATTAGAGAATAAAAATTGTTCAAATAAGTAAAAAAAAAATTTTCAGTTTTGCTTTTAAATAGCCAAATTTTAAATGAGAACATAAGGAAAGATAAAAAAAAAATATAAAAATTACATGTAAAAAAAATTACGTTGTATTTCATTAAGATAATTAAAAATTTTTAATTTGAAAAGTATGGTTGATAAAAAAAAATTTATATATATATATATAAATATATAAATGCATATATATAATTCTTTCTACAATGCAACAAATGCCCCCAAAAAAAAAAAAAAATTATTTGAGTACTAGAGTGCTCAAATTAAATGAAAAAAAAAAAAAAAGATTCGTGATCTAAATTATAATTATTAAAAATGTATTTTCTCATATTATTTAAGTATTTTATTTATTCTTATAGTTGAATTGTATAGTAATTCTTTAAAAAAAACCAAATGCAACTTCTTTATTGATGTGTGCTGTAAAATGTGCATGTAAATTAAAAAAATTCAGAGAAATTTTTGTATTTAGGTAAAAAATTTAATAAATTTTTAAATATTTGAAATTTTAAAATACACAAAAATGAATGAAGATTTTTCATTGAACTTTTTTTTTTAATATATTTTATTTTAATTTTTTTTTTTTTATCTTATCATATTTTTTCCTTTATTTTTATTTTTTATTTTTGTTCTTTTTACAATTATTGTTACAAATAATTTCAAAGTTGACTATATAAAGGAAGATTATTTGTTTCATTTATCATTTAAAAATTTAAAAAATTAATAAAAAAAAATTTTGGAAATATTTTATTTTATTTGAAATCGGTAATTTACACTTTCACTTCACATAAACTTAAGAGAAAAGCATAGACTAACTGGCTAAAATGAAAAAAACAACAATTCTTACCAAAAACCGATATGAAAATTCAGTAAAAATTTTATTGAATCATGTGTATATATATCATAATTTTATTATGTGGAGTGATACTTACTTAACATGATAGTGTAACAAAATATATATATGTTTTATATTAATATTTAAAGATACAAAATTATATATTTTTTTGAAACCTTACAACTATGTAATTCAAAGAATAAAAGAAAAATGTAAAATTTTATTTTTATATTTTAGGAGTTTAATTTATTTAGAATCAACATAAATTATGAAAAATATACTTTTTTGGTATTTCAGAAATACTTAGGACATCTTAAAATAAATATTGATATTAGATAATATTTTTCATGTAATATATCAATAATCAATATTACTTTAATATTTAAAATAAATATATAAGAATAAAAGGAATGCTAAAGATAATTCCAAAATGATATATTTAATATTCATTTTCTTCAAAATAATATATATTATCATAAAAATAAATAGATTATTTAATTATTTGTCATTAATAGAATAATGTGTAAATATAAAACTTATTTAGAAAAAAAAATTATTTAAAAGACATAATAAATGTTATTATTTTTACAAAAACATTTATTATTAGCTAAAAATTTAATTATTTTCCTATTAATTATTATAATAGATCTACAAGAAAAAAAAAAAAAAAAATTCTATTTTCATAATGACCATTAAAATAAAAGGAAACCATAATGTTAAACAATCATGATTTTGTTTTATATTTTATTATAAGATTACAATTATTAAAAAAAAAATAACACATATAAGTATATATATATATATATATATATAAACAAAATTAAATAAATAAATATATTAATGATGTTTAAAAGTAAATTTCAATGTATATATTATTGTATGTATATTATAAATGTAATTTAATATATTATATTTTTTTAAATATTAAAAAAATTTAATATTTTAAAAATTTATATGGGGATAGTTATATGTAAAGAAAGTAAACAAAATTCTAGTAATACTAAAAAAAATTTTTACTTAAATTTAAAAAATGAAAAGGAGTATTATATAATTAATGCGCATATGATATTAGGCGTCAATACTACTTTCCTGTAGTAGACGCTAATATGGGTGTTATTACCTAAAAAAATAAAAAAATTGTGTTGTATAATTATTGAGGAATATATATGTAATAATAAAGATTTTTGCAAAAAAAAAAAAAAAAAAAAAAAATTTATTAAGTTTATTATATTCTTTTTTATGAAGCAATGCTTATTCTTATTTAATATATATATATATATATTTATTTTGTTATATGTATACATATTTTTATAAAGATTTACATATATATACATTTTTTCTTGTGTGTATTTATTTTTACCATAGTAATGGTTGATATAAGTTTGATAAGAACATGTATTGATGGTCCAGCTGTGTCCTTGCATGGATCACCAACAGTATCTCCAATAACACTTGATACATGTGCTGGACTATTTTTTCCTCCATAAAAACCTGATTCAATATATTTTTTAGCATTATCCCATGCTCCACCAGCATTGTTCAAAAAAAGAGCCATAAGTATACCGGTGGAGGTAGAAAACATGATAAAAGAGGCAATAACCTGTGCACCTAGCAATTGGTTATTTTGTAAAATACCTAAATATTTAAATACTAAGCCAACAATTAAAGGAGAAAAAATTCCTAATAGTCCAGGCTTAATTGTTTCTATTAATGCTCTCCTACTAATTATTGCTACACATTTATGATAATCTGGTTTTTCTTGATAAGTTAAAATGCCTGGATGATCATTGAATTGTCTTCTAACTTCTTTTAAAACCTCTTCGGCAGTTTTACCTACTGCATCTAATGACCAACCAGCAAACAAAAACACAACAACTGATCCTAAAATACCACCAATGAAAACTTCTGGTATTGCAATGTCAACTGTTGAAAAAGGAATCTTTGAATGAGTTGATACTTCACTAAGGAAAGCAGAAAAAAGAAGAAAACATGCCAAAGCAGCGGAACCTACACTAAATCCTTTTGTATTAGCTTTAGTTACATTTCCAACAGCATCTAATTTATCTGTAATAACACGAACACATTCTGGTTGTTTGGACATTTCTACTATACCTCCTGCGTTATCAGCAATTGGGCCAAAATTAGACATACTTAAAATAAAAACGGCAGTTGATAACATACCCATAGTTGCAACAGATGTACCATACAACCCATTTATTATACTATTATCAGACGTTATATTGCTTTTTAATCCTAAATAATATGATAGTAGTAGAGAAATAGATATAACTATTATAGGAAAAAAAGTTGATTCTAATCCAACATATAAACCTGCGATTATATTGGTAGCAGGACCACTCAAAGATGCATGAGCTATTTTTTTTACTTTGGGATAAGAATAATCTGTATAATATCTAGTTAGAATAACAAATAAATAGGAGCAAATCATTCCAATTACTCCACATAAAGAAAAATATATCCATTCATAACCTTGTTTATCACTAGAAAAAAGCATTTTACATAAAAAAGAAAATCCTGTAACTCCAAGAAGACACGTAAAAAAGTAAGCTTTTAACATAGCTTTTAAAGGATTTTCTAAATTTTCCGATGTAATATTATGACCATAATTTTCATTTATCATATCTCTTTCTTTATTAGTACTATTTAATGTTACAGTAGATTCTAAATATATACTTGAATTAATATTGTTAAAATAATTTTCCTCTTTTTTTTCTTTTTTTTTTTTTGTATATTGCTGATTGGCTTGATATGAGCCATTGTTAACGTATACTAAGTATACTCCAATGGTTGAAATTAATAAATCCATTGAATGCACGAATAATGGAAATAAAACAAAATAACTTGCATTATTTTCGGAAATAACACCTTGTTCTGATAAAGTACCTCCTAAAATCATAGATGCAATTATTTCGGCTGATATAGACTCAAATAAATCCGCACATTGACCAGCACAATCTCCTACATTGTCTCCTACTAAATCAGCTATAACTGCAGGATTTCTTGCATCATCTTCTGGTATATGTTTTTCAATTTTTCCAACTAAATCTGCACCTATATCAGCTGCTTTGGTATAAATTCCTCCAGCTAATTGATATAACATAGCAACTAAAGAAGCTCCAAAACCATACCCAACAATTAGTAATGGGTATTTAGAAAAAGATAAAGTTGGATACATGAAATTTACTAATAACAATAATGAACAAATTCCAAAAATAGCTAATGCAACATTTACAATTGCACTTACTGCTCCACTTCTAAAACATGTAACCAATGCTTTATTATATGAATATGTAGCAGCTTTAGCTACTTTTATATTAGCTCTAACTGCTACATAAATTCCATTATACCCTGCTATAGAACTGCAAATAGCACCTAATAAAAAAGATATAGCTGTTATAATACCATAGGAAAGTGGAGATATAATAATAGAGCTATCATTTAAGTCATCCGAAATTTTATTTTCTTCAGGAAATTTTGTATAATCTCCACGTATTACATATAATAATAATATAAATACAGTAAATATTATGGATATTTTTAATATAGAATTGTATTGAACTGCAAAAAATCCCTCAGAGCCTTCTTTAATTGGCTTTGCTATACTTTCAAAAGAAGCTATTTCATATCCTTCACTAGTAGCCATCTCATTATTTAATGTTTCATTATCATCATGTTGGTTATTCATCAAATTTATATTAGCTTTTTGATTATTTTCTAATAAATTGTTCCAGTTATTATTTACCATATTTGTGTCATTTAATACTTTATTAGACACTTCTCCTTTGTGTGTGTTTGTTTTTTCTTCTTTATAAAATGGTAATGCCATTTCATTAGTTCCTTTTGTATAATTTTTAGTTGATAATTCTATTTCATTAATGTTATTATTATTTTTTGTACTACGTTCATAATGAAAATTATGAACTTGAAAAGAAGGTAATGATGTGTTTACATACTCATTTTCAGTATTTTGAAAAGTATTATCTTTCAATCGATCATTATTCAAATTATAACCATTATTGATGTTGTTATTTTGTCTATTGCTTAATTTTGAATTTGTTATTTTACTTTTACTATTATTTATAATACTTAACTCATTTTCAATAAAGATATTACTTATCATATCATCCTTTTTTATAGTATTATATGTTTCATATTCATCATTTAATATTGTACTCAGAATATATAAGGAATATAATAAAAAATATAAACTATAAAGTGTCAAGGTAATTAAAAGAACAGTTTTTAAATTATCAGTGCTTTTGTAAGAAATATATATTATTAATAGAAATAACAATAAGACAACAAAGTTTATTATTATACGCTGCTTTGTTGTTTTATTTATATATAATTTTAAATACTTAATAATTTTTAATTTTCCTCTTCTTTCATTTAATTTTTTAACTTTTCTTTTTGCATTTTTAGAATAACTGTTTTCAAAAATATTCTTTAAATTTTTGTTATAAACTATATTAACTTCGTTTTTATTCTCGTTTTTTTTAATTTTTGGATCATTTTCATATATAGGAAGCATTTTATTTTTAATCTATATAAAAATTTTTTTTTACTTTTTTATAGATATGTATAACAGAAACAAATATTAATTTTTTTTTGCAAACAAATTAGTATTTTTTTCTTTTTTTTTTTATTTACTATTTTTAATATTATTATCCATTAAAATTTATTTTCATATTATTTTGATCATTTGGTTCACTTTTTTTTTTTTTTTTTTTTTATTTAATAAAATTTTATATTTGTTTTAGTATAATGAAGTGTATTTATGTGCATGTGTGATTGCTTTCATTGTTATATTTTTTTTCATTATTTTGTGTAAATGTTATATACACATACACTTTATAAAAAGAAAAAAAAACTATGTAACACAAATAGCTTTTATAATTAAAAATGAAAAAAAAGCGGTTACATAAATTACCTTTAAAATTTAAAAAGAAAATAAAAAAATATAACAAAAAAAATTAAGTTTTTTAGATGGTCTTTTATTTGTTCCACGAAAAAGGAAAAATTAGTAAATGATTTAGTTATATAATAATTCATTAAAATTAATTATATTTTGCTGTATATATATTTTACAAATACTTTTTTTTTTTTTTTTTAGAAACAAAATATATATATATTTATAAAATTATAAAAAGCTTTAGACTTTGTTAATTAATGCATATAACAAAAAATATAATTCCTTTAAAAAAAATTAGGTTAGAAATGTTCATTTTTTAAATATTTTCATTTTAAAATCCTTCAAATAAATTCCGTATAAAAAATTTTTCAATTTAAAAATATAATATGTAATTTATATAGAAATAATTATTTATATGATTTTTCATTTTTCAATTATTATTTTGCATTATTCCGATACACATTAAAAGCTTTATACGAATAACCCAATTAGATAAAAAGAAAATATATTATATATCTCATTAATGAAATTAAAAACGAAGAATGTTAAAAAAATATATTTTTTTTTAAAAACATGAAAATTAATTTATAAAAAATATGGAGTTACATTCATTATTTTAATGAATTCCATCAAAAAAAAAAAAAAATAAATAATAAAACATGAATAATCATTTTATAAGAATAAAATATATACTTATTGTGATTAAATAATTATTAAAAAGGTTCTTCCCCTTTAGAAAAAAAAAAAAAATCTGCTTTATTCATGATAAAATGTAAATAATATTTATATTAAACTTATATATATTAGTATACACATATAAATAAAAAAGATATTTTATTTTTTTTTTCTTTGAACTACAATAAAGAAAAATTTTACGTAAATTTAGTGGTACATTATATTATTAAAAAATATGTTGATAAAAAGTTGTATTCTATAATTAGAAGCAAAAAAAGTTTTAGTTTAAAATTTTAATTTTTTTTAAATATTGTAAATATTAAAAAAATATATTAAGAATATGTTCTAACATTATTCTATATATAAAAAAGGAAATGCTCATTGAGAGAAATAGAAAAAGAAATAATAATAAAATTTCTAGAATACAAAATACATACATAGTAAAATTTAGTATCTATAATGATTAAAAGAAAAGAAATAATAAATAAAAAGGTCTTCTAATATTTATTTTCTATTTAGTTTTTTTTTTATTTTATAAATATAAAAGACATTGTTCATTAAGGAAATAACGAAAAGCTTCTTTGTTTTATATATTACTATTATTATTTTTTTAATTAAAATTGTTACAATATTTTGAAAAATGAATTTTTATTTTTATATACCCATTTTTAAAAGCATTAATCTACTTTCATACTATATGTAATTTTTTTTCTTAAGGGTAATGTCTTTATTTTTTTCATTAGTTATATTCCTTTTTAAATTTAAAAAAATATATTTTATATTAATATTGTATAATTTTTCATTTTTCAAAAAATTCAAAGTTCATTATAAAAATATAAAACTTCATTTTTTTTTTTTTTTTTAAGTGTACATCGTCATTTCCTTCAATTTTATAAAGCCTTTTTTTTTTTTTTTTAAATTTCTTACATATATTGTTTTAAAAAAATTTACCTAACAATAAAAAAGTTTACTATTCAGTATAACCAATAAAAGTTACATACCTTTAAAATTTATTTTTCGTTTATATAAATAAGTATTCATATAATTTTGTTTAGTAAATATTATATATATATAAATATATAAATATATATATATATGAATATATATATATAAATATATAATTATATAAATATATAAATATATAAATATATAAATATATAAATTTATATATATATAAATATATAAATATATAAATATATAAATTTATATATATAAATATATATTTATATAATTTATGTGCATGCCAACAGAAAATTTTACGAATTTAATTTTAGACTTAAAAAAAAAAATCATTTCCATTTAAAACAATTAAAAGAAATAATCTGAAGATATATTTTTTTATTATTTTAAATATTTCTTTTAATTCATATAATTAATGATAGAATTACCTTTTATATTTGAGTAACTTTAAAAAAATTGATATTTTGTGAAAATTATTAAATAAAATGAATTATTAAAAATTTTGCTTTTTTTTTTTTTTTTTTTTTTTTTTTTTTTTTTTTATATTAAAATTTATATAAAAAAGAAAAAAAAATATATATATAAAAAAAAGTAAAAAATTATAATTAAAAAAAAGTAACAAAAAAAGATAAGGATAATAAAGGAAGATAGAAAATAAAGAGATAGCAAAAATAGATAATAAGCATATATAAAAGAATGCATTTTTTCTTTAAAAAATTCATTTCGTAATATTAATTATGTGAATAATATTAGAAGTTATATATACTAGTATTTAGAAAAATAAATAAAATATATGTATAAAAATAAAAGAAAAAAAAAGGATGAGAAGAGGCGGTGGTAATGATAAGCGATTTTTGAGACGATCTTTTAATAGATCATATTATTATAAGAAAAATGAAAAAGAAAAAGTAGAAGAAATTAATAACAGAAAAAGCAAAAATTTTGAAAGAGAAGAGGAAGAAGATGAAGGGGATGAAGAAGAAGATGGAGAAGAAAAAGAAGGTGAAGATGAATATAATTCAGAGGAGGAAGAAAAAAATAGAAAAAAAAAAATAAAGAAAATAAAAAATAAAGAAAAAAAAGAATTATTTGATGAAGAAAGAGATGCATTAAAAAGTATAGAAGAAAGTAATGAAAAAAATCAAGATAAAAATAATATAATTTGCCCATTATGTGTAGAAGTGCTAGATGAAACAGACAGAAATTTTTTTCCATGTGATTGTGGTTATCAAATATGTTTATGGTGTTTATATTATATAAGGGATCATATGAGTAACAAATGTCCAGCATGTAGAAGAAGTTATAACGAAAAAAAGTTTATCTATAATAGAGAAACCCATGAAAAATTATTTAAAAAGCAAAAGAATCAACATAAAAATAAGAATGAAAATACAAATTTAAGTAAATGTGATTTGTATAAAAATGCCAATATATATAATATTCATGAATATGATAATTTATTAGAAATAATTAAAGGGATACGAGTAGTTCAGAGAAATCTTGTTTTTGTTATTGGTATTACATCTGCATTTGCTAAAAAAGCTATTTTAAAAAAAAGTGAATATTTCGGTAAATATGGAAAAATATTAAATATTATAATAAATAAATCACAAGCATATAATCCTAATTATAATGGTCCATCTTTTAGTGCTTATATAACTTATAGCAATGAAAAAGAGGCAATTAATGCTATTTATTTTATTGACGGTATGACATTAGATAATAAGATATTAAAAGCTTCCTTTGGTACTACTAAATATTGCTCTTCTTTTTTAAAAAATTCTTCTTGTAGTAATGAAGAATGTTTTTATTTACATGAACTTGGTAACGTAGTAGATAGTTTTTCAAAAGATGATATACATGGTCCAAAGCATTTATACCATGATCTTTTATATTTTTATTTTAAAAAGTTACCAGAAAAGAAGAATGAACAAAACTATGATTCTTCTAATAACTTAACTAAATATAACAAAAAAATTCTAGATCCAAATAAAACTTCAAAAAATAGTGGAGTTGATATTAAAAAAAAAATTGATAGTAATGAAGAATTAATAAATAATAAGAAAGCTATTTCTAATAATCCAGAAAATAAAATGATGTATAAAATTTACAATGAATGGAAAAAAAAAAGTATAGAAAGCAGTAAAGATGCGGGTGGTAAAATTGTAGAGGAAATGAAAAAAGAAAAAAAAATGAATGAGATAAATAATAAAAAAGAAAGTATTTTAGAAGAAAAAAAGAAAAAATGGAATTCAGAAGAAAAAGTTAATATAAAAAGTGGCATGAATGAAGAACTGGAAGAAGAAAATATTAATAAAAACAAAAAAAAAAAAAAAAAAAATAAAAGTGAAGAGATGTTGAATTGTGATATAATAAAAGATAATAATAATAGTTCTTATAATTATTGTAAAGAGAAAAACTACTTAAGTTCTCTTCAAAATATTTCATACATTAAGGAAAATGATAATAGTAAAAATGAAGAAAAAGGAATTAACAAAAAAAATAATAACAGTGAGATAGAAGATACATATTACTTAGACGAAATTTCTGAGAACTATCCACTAATAAACGATGTTAGATTTGAAAAAGAAAGAAGAAAAAAAATAAAGAAAAAATTAGAACAAAATAAAGGAGAATATGTGAATATGAAAGAAAAAGATAAATTTAAAGAAAAAAACAAAAATTATCAGCAAAGTAGGGAGAACAAAGAACAAAAGGAAATAAAAAAACAAAAGAGAAAAAATATATATGATAATCCTATAGATAATAATAAAGATACCAATCAAATAGAACTACATCATAAAATTACTGGTACAACAAAAGAACGGGGGAAAAGTAATGAACTACAAGATAATGATATTAAAAAAATGTATTATAGAATAGATAACTATTTCGATGAATTGTTAGATAAAAATAAAAAGAGAGAACAAACAAAAACTTCCATAGAGAATATACTTAATGAAAAAAAGAAAATTGTAGGCATAGATAAAAAAGATATATATTGTACAGAATATAATGATGATATAGAAAAATCAAAAAAAAGGGAAGTCACAAATTTGAGAGAAGATAATTCTGAATATAAAAAAATTAAAGAATGTGAAGAAAAAGAAAAAAAAAATGGAAAATTAAAAGAAAATAAGGAAAAAGAAGAAAAAAATAAAATAGATCAAAAAGAAATCGAAAAAATAGAAGAAAATGAAACAGAGAATAGAAGTAATGTAAAAGAAAAAAAAGAAGATAATGTAGGATTTTATGAAAAAAATATTTACAGAGATAAATACAGAAAAGGAAAATATAATGATTATGAAAAATCTGAAAAAATAAAAAAAGGAGTTGAAATAGAAGGTGATAAAGAAGATGAAGGTGATGATGAATATGAAGATGATGAGGAAGAATTTGAAGGTAATGAAGAAGGAATTAAGGAAGAATATGAGGAAGATGAAGGTGAAGAAGAGGAAGAAGAGGAAGAAGAGGAAGAAGAAGAAGAAGAGGAAGGAGAGGAAGAAGAAGAAGAAGAGGAAGAAGAAGAGGAAGAGATAGAAGAAGATGAAGAAGAGGAAGAGGAAGAGGAAGAGGAAGAGGAAGAAGAAGAAGAAGAGGAAGAGGAAGAGATAGAAGAAGATGAAGAAGAAGAAGAGGAAGAGGTAGAAGAAGAAGAGGAAGAAGAAGATGAAGAAGAAGAAGAGGAAGAAGAAGATGAAGAAGAAGAAGAGGAAGAAGAAGAAGAAGAAGAAGAAGAGGAAGAGGAAGAAGAGGAAGAAGAAGAGGAAGAAGAAGAGGAAGAGGAAGAGGAAGAAGAAGAAGAAGAGGAAGAGGAAGAAGGTGAGGAAGAGGAAGAGGAAGAGGAAGAGGAAGGTGAGGAAGAAGAATATATAAATGTAGAACTAAAGGAAGAAGAAAAAAAAAAGGATAAACAAAACAAGAAAAAACAAAAATATAATGATAATCTAGACGATGAGGAAATTCAGAAGATGACAAATATTGAAAATATAATAAAAATGAAAAATAACGCAAGTATAACTAGTCATGACGTAATTGGGGAATACATAAAAAAAATAAATAATAATGAAAAAAAAGAAAATGCAGAATTTGATACTTATGACAATATTGTAAATAATTATTTTAATGAAAGTGAATGCTTAGAAAGTATGGATGAAAAAAATATCTACATAGAGAATAGTAAAAAAACAACAAAAAAAAATGAAATAATTAATGGAGAATTTTTGGAAAAAAAAAATAAAAATGAAATAAAAAAAATAAAAACGAAATTAGATAATGAGGATTCAAATATAAAAGAAATTATAAACATGGAAGAAAACAAAATGGTTCTAAGCAATAAAGAAAAAAAGAAAAAGAAGAAAAAAAATACTTTTAAAAAAATTTTGTATCATGAAGAAATAGAAAACGATGTTATGAATATAATAAGAGATATGATGATGTATCAAGTTAAATTGAAGAGCAAAAAAAATAGTAATAAAAGGAATTGTGAAAAAATTGCTTTATTCAATGATTTAGAAATTTTTATTAGGAATTTATGTATAGCTAAAAGTAAATCCATTCAAAATAATCCTGTAGACGAAGGCACAGTGTATTTAATAGAAGATATAATAAGCAAAAAAGATAAATCTGCCAAAAAAAATGATTATTTATTATATTCTAATGATGAAAACGTATTTTTAAAGTCTTACAAAGGAATTATAGAATATATATTAAAGAGAAATAGTAGTTTTAAAATTAAGAAAAATTTTAATGAACACACATTTGATGCATATAAAGAATTAATTCTATCTAAAGATGATAATATGATTACTGATCAAAATAATTTATTTGATAAAATTTTTAATGAGCAAATAAATTTTGTTCAACAACTATGTAAATCGGATTATAATATTAGTTCATCAGATATTCATTCAAGTAAAAAAAAATCTATATATAATTTTTATGAAGACAATAATTTAAAAGATAAAGAAAAATCTTTATTAAAGAGTATACCTAATTTATGGGTTAATTTCAATAACTCTTTTAACTCTGAAGAAGTAAATGATAAAGTTAATTTAAGTGCCTAATGAATGTTCGTTAAACAAGACAAATTTAATAATATTTCTTGAGTTCATGTTATAATAGTCATGAAGTGATGTATACATATATATATATATATATGATAAACATATGTAAAAAAAAAAAAAAAAATAAACTTATATATTCTTTTAATTTTATTATATTTGTTATTTACAAATATAATAAATTTAAACGATATATTAAAATTAGAAAAATATAATATATGGAAAATTTCATTTTGAGTATCTACTATTTCTAAAAGTGTTTTTTTATAAAATCGTTTGTAATAATAAAAAAAAGAAAAAAATTTTTTTTTTTTTCTTAATTATAGTTAATACATTAAGAAGTATTATTTTTACAACATTTAGATAGTGAAAATATTTTTTTCATTAATATATTGTATATATATAGTTTATATGATAATTTAGAAAGTTTAAGGCTTATAATAAAAAAAAAAAAAATTAACAATTATAGCGAATAGTAATTTTAAACAAAATAGTAAAGTATAAAAAAGAAAAAGATGAAGACAACGAATATAAACGTGATAAAAAATAAAATTATTTTTAATTTAAAAATTTTTTTTTTCATACAATTTATATATAATTTTTTAAATAATTTTGGAGCATAACTTTTTATATTTTAATAATATTTTAAATTTATTTATTTATTTATTTTTTTTCTTTTTTTTTCCTTACAACTCACCAATCTCATTTTTACTTTTTAATTATATTTCAATTTATTTAAGTACAAAAAAAAAAAAAAAAATATGAATTGGAAAAGTATAATTTTACAAAAAAAAATTTATACTTAATAAAATTAGTTATTTAAGGTTTTTTAACAAAAAATAAAAATTAAAAATAAAAATGAATAACATATTAAAAAATTATAGTTATTAAATATAGATAGATACGTGTATTAAAACAACTGTAATGTCATATATATATATATATCATTACAAGATAAATTTAGAAAAATTAATTAAATAAATGATTTAATTATTTAATTTCATGAAACTCAAAACATGAAAACAAGAAAATTTACTTTTACTACTATGGATATAAATGTGAAAAACAAGAATATAAAACAATACTTTAAAAAAAAAATTTATAATTAAATGAAAAAAAACACAATTTAATTAATACAAATAAAAAATGTAACAATAATATTGAGATGTAAATTATAATGAATTTCACAAAATGCTAAAATAAAATAGTTTTTCATCCATGTTATGTTATCTTTAATAAAAAATATTAAAATGTGATTTAAGTTTTAGCATTTATTGTATCCACAAAATGTCATAAAAAAATTAGCATGACCACTTGAAATAGATCTTAAAACTGAAGCATAATTATGTGTATATTTGACAGGCATAATTGCAATTATTTTCATAATTTTGAAATCATCCTGTTGTTTATTTTTCATAATTTGAATAACATTTCCTTTCCTATTTTGAATTAAATCCTTAACTATAATACCTACAAATGATTCATTTGTTTGTATATGAAGCAACGAAATTGGATGAGCTATTTGAATATTAGCGTTTCTAATCATTTTGTAATATAAATCATTGCAAGCATATTTTGCTACTGCTATTGTACTATCATCAAATATTTTTAATTTTGTTATAATTATTTCAGTATTAATAATATTTGCATTTGTTCTATAACCATTACTTAAGCAGTTTTTTAAAGAAATAATACAGCTCTTTAGAATTTCGTCATAGAAATTTTTTTTTTTTTTATTTATTTTTTTTAATTCTTCAACATATAATTGCACATTTTTATCAATAGTTACATTGCTTTGAAACAAATTTTCATAATTAAGGTTTAATAAATATTCACTTATTTCTTCATCATCTATATTCTCATCATTTATTTCTTCATCATCTATATGCTCATCATTTATTTTTTCATCATCTATTTCATTAATATCTCCTTCATCTCCTCCATTTTTTTCTTCTAATATTTTCATTTTATTTTTGCTATTAAATGTTTTTTTAAAATAATGTTCTGAATTTAATTTTCCCTTTAAATTATTATAACAACTGAAGTGAAAATGTAAACTATTCTCTTTTTTTAAATTTCTTACCTTTTCACTTGTATCAGAGTTGCTATTAATTTCTATTTTCTTTTTATTGTAATGTATGTTATTCGTATCACTATTTTTAGAAAAGTCATTCATATGTATTTCAACATTCGTATCGTATTCCTTGAAATTATTTGTTGTATAATTATTTTTTATACTGTCATAATTTTCTTCTTTTTCTTCTCCACATATGGAGCTATTTTTTGAAGAACATTCCTTCTTCTTGTTGAGTGTTAAGAATTGTGAAACATTATCATATTTTAATATATTCTGTATATAATTTGCAACGTCTACAAACTCTTTTTCTTTAATACTTAGACCGATTACTATACTGGAATAATTAGAACCAACTTTCATTTGTTTTTCTATCTCATTTTCATAATTCCCTAAAATATATTCTTTACATACTATTTCAACATCGCTTGTTTTTATATCAATGTTGTAATCACTTTTAATTTTTTCTAATGTAACTTCAATATTTAGTATACCTATTGAACCAATAATTAATTTATTATTTTTATCTACATAAGTATGTATGCTGTTATCTTCTAAACATATTTGCTTTAAAATATTTTTCAGTTCCTTTTCTTTTTTGTAATCTTTTGGTTCAATTGCACATGTGCAAACTATTATATTTTTGCTAATTCGTTTTTTATAACTTTTCAAAAAATACCACAGTTCTTTATTTTTTATTTGTCCCTTCATTAATTTATATATTTCGTTATAATAATTTGTTTCATTAATTTGTAAATTGTTCTTTCTTTTATAATAATCATCACTATTAATTTCATATTCTTCTTTAATTTTATTTTCTTCTTTATAATAACGTTCTTTTTTTCTTAAAGTTTCTTCTTCATTTGTTTTTTCTTCTTTTTCACCTAAAATATCGCAAACTAATATATTTTCAAATCCTCTTACCATTCCTATATCATTAGTTGTTAATTCTTTAGTAATAATATACCTATCGGCTTTTACTTTATAAATATTTTTTACTTTTTCATTTTTGTTATTTCTAATATTACATAGCATCGAATTATTAGTTAGTTTTCCTTTAAATACTTTACAAAATGTGTTATACCCATTTTTTTCGCTTACTAGTTTGAAAATAAATATTATAGTTTTGTAAAAATTCATAGCATATTTTTTATTAATTGTATCATTTAAAGGCTTTACATTGTTATTTATTTCATTAATTATACTAAAATTCTTATTACTTACTGTTGTACATGATCGTATATCATCTTTATTCTTTATTGTACCTTTATTATTATTTTTGTCAATAATTTCTTCTATATTTCCTATATACTTATGTTTATCATGTAAAATATGTTTATTCTGATTAATTATATTTGAAGAATCAACGATTATATTGCTATAATCATCAGTTTTACTAGTATATGTAACATAATCAAGAAGTAAATGTACTCCATATGAGTTTAGAGCACTCCCAGAGAATGCTGGAAATATATACTTTTTATTTATATTTTCGCTTAAAGAATTTTTAATGTCTTTATATGTTAATTGTAAATTATTTAAATATTTATATTCAATTTCACTATCTAAATCACATAACACTTCTACTATCTCTTCCCTTTTTTTTATGATATAATTAATTATATCATCATTTAAAATATGTAAAATCTTTTCATTTTCATTTTTATATTCTTCTGAAATATCTTTACATGATTGAATAAAATAGAAATGTTTATCTAAATTTTTATTTTTTGATTGTTTTAAAATACCTTCTAATGGTATTCCTTTATATACAAATTTTTGACCATATTTAACTTCTGGATAAAAATATAGAATCATAGATGGTATATCCAATATATATTTTAATTTTTTGTTTTCATAAATTGGGTATGTTATAAGTAAACATTTTTTACTTAAATTATTTCTTATACTTGTAAAATTGTAATCAAGATCTGCTTCATATATATCCATTTTATTTAAAAAAAAAAAAATTGGTATATTTTCTTTTATGTAACGGAAAATGTTAATTGTTTGAATTTGTAATCCCTCCTTTGCATCTACAACAATCACGCATTTATCTGAAACACATAAGGATAAAAATGTTTCATTACTAAAATCAACATGTCCTGGAGTATCAATTAAGTTTACTTTTACATTATTCCATTCAAAACATGAATAAGCTGTTTTTATTGTTATTCCCCTTTCTCTTTCTTGTTTTAAAAAATCTAACTGTGTATTTTGATCATTTATATTACCTTTTATCTTTATTTCATTTGCATTATATAAAATATCTTCTGATATTGTTGTTTTTCCTGCATCTATGTGTGCAAGAATCCCTAAATTTACTACCTCATGTAAAGAAAATCTTTTATTATACTTCAAAAAAATATTTTTTGTTGTCAGTACTTTTTTTAACATAATAAAAAAAAGGGATTAAAATCATTTAAAATATATTTTTTTCTAGAGTTTTATAAAGATATGTCAAATAATACAATGCGCTCATTTTCTTTAAAGATGTGTAAAAAGCAATAATCTATAATTGCCATATACGAATGATATAATAAATAAAAAAAAGAAAAAAAAAAATTAAATATTCGTATAATATATAATTATTTATATAAGGTTTACATAATTTTTTAATCTTTTTTTTTAAGTTTTGTATTTTGAATATTTCTAAAACTCTCAAAAATATTTCGAAAATGTGTAGTTTTATGAGATATATAAAATACTGCAAAAATAAAAAGGAAAAAAAATAAACATAAAATCCTTTTTATTTTTTTCTAATTATTATATACATATATTTGAAGATTTCTCAATACTAATCAAAATTCTTAAATTTTTTTTTAATAAATACTTAAATATTAAAATGTTCCTTTTTTTCTATTTGTTCTTATGTATAAACTTATATTTTAATTCAATATATATATAAATATATATTTTAAAAAATATTTTTTTTCAAACACTTAAAAACTGAAATTTATACTTTTTCTATTATAAATTTTTTTTTTTTAATAATACTCTATTTTTATGATATCTCATGTATACAAAAATATTCGTTTTTTTATTTTTTTAATTTTTAAAATTTATTTTATTTTCATAATGTTTTGAATTTTAAAAAAAAAAAAATCATAATTTTATTAAGAAATTTTTGCTTCATACATATATAATTTTTTTCAGGAAAGTCAAACTGTATTTTTTCTTTTATCTTTTATCTTTTTTCTTTCTTTTTTTTTCTTCTTTCTTTTTTCTTTTTTCTTTCTTCTTTTTTTTTCTTCTTTTTTCTTTTTTCTTTTTTCTTTTTTCCTTTTTCTTTTTTTTTTTTTTTTTTTTTTTTTTTTTTTTTTTTTTTTTTTTTTTTTTTTTTTTCTTTTTTTTTTCTTTTTTCTTTTCTTTTTCTTTTTTTTTTTTTTGTAAAATATTCGTAAGGAATTTCAAAATTATTTATGAATTTTATATATATATATATTTCATTTTTTAAATATAATTATAAAAATCTTGAGAAAATATAATTATTGAAAGGATATATATTTTTTTAAATAATATGTAATTATTTTATTTTATTACTTCCAAATAATTTAACTTATTTATATTAAATGTATATAAAACATGAAAAACTCAAAGAACGAAGATTCAAATAGTACAATTCATAAACCTCCGAAGGTGGTAAATTTCAATAATAATCGAATCAATAAGGTAGACACAAGTTTTAAACAAAATTTTCAAAATACTTCATATAATAAACCTAATAATACAACATATCAATATATGAATAAAAATTATTCGAAGGCTAATTATGTTAATACAAATTCTACAAACTCTAACTATCCAAAAATAAATTACAACAGTACAAATTTCCCAAATACTTATAATAAAAGTTGTAACTATAATTATATGAATTATTCATGTATTAATAATAATAATAATAGTAATATAAAAAACTCAGTAAGTTATGTAAATACACATATAAGTAACAATGTGAGCAGTAATTTGAATATTCATATGAATAATAATTTAAATAACAATGTGAACACTCATACTAATAATATGAACATTCATGCTAATAGTATGAATAACAGTATAAATAATAATATGAACAGTAATGCCAATAATATGAATAATTTAAATAGTAGCATGAATATTCATGTTAATAATATAAATAATAATATAAGTAATAATGTTAACAATATTGGTAATCCTATGAATAACAATTTAAATAGTAATATTATGAACAGTCAGGTAAATAATTTGACTAATACTAACATAAGTAATAATATTTATATGAATAAAAATTACAATATTCCAAAAGCTCCATACATAAATTATGCTAATAATAATATGACCAATTTTAATAAAAATAATAATGCTCATACACCTAATATTAATTCTTTGACATCAAAAAATAACCAAAGTAACAGTACAAGTAATTCTTACATGAATAACAACTTTATGGATAATTTGACAACATTAAATTATAATAATGATAAAAGCAACTATGTACAAAATTCAAATACAGTAAATAATACAAGTAACAGTAGCACATACGCTACAATAGACAATAATAATGTTGAAATACAAAATAATTATTCTTATGATAATTATTTAAAGAATACAAATGTAAATAATAATGAAAATGAATTATATAGTAAAAATTCCAATTTATCTAATATTTTCATTGATGATACAAGATCTATGAATACTAATAATAGTAATAATAATTGCAATAATGAATTATCGGATTTTAATAAAAATAATTATCCCAATATTAATTATAAAAATAGCAATGTAATAAAGAATAACAGTTCTATGAACACAAAAACTAGTGATTTAAATTCAAAAATACAAAATAAACATTATTCTTCAGGTTCTCTACAAAATCAGGAAAATAATAATGGTATACAAAATGTCACATTTAATTTAAATATAACAAAAAATAATATGTATATCAATAAAAGTAGCAATGCAAATTCTAAACCTATGTATACAAATATAAATAATGGAGCTCCTAATAGTGTGAATAGCAACTTCAGTTCTCACAAAAATAACCATACTAATTTTTCTCCTATTAATACGAATGAAAAAGACAGTGCTAAATTTGAAAAAAAAAATGTAAATAATATAGAAAATACTAAGGATATGAAGAAAAATGATCGTAATTATCAAGAAAACTCTAATAACACAAAACAAAATTCCTATCACAATAATAATTATCAAAATGAAAATAATAATTATGAATATAATAATAGCAAAATACACCCCAATGCAAATGCAAAAAAAAGTGAAAATAAAAATAATCCTTGTAATATAAATATAGATGGAAGAGAGAGATTACAAAATGATTATAATCAAAATTTTGTAAATACAGGAGAACGACCACAAAATTTCATAAGAGACAGTGATGAAAATAAAAGATTTATTAAATATCCCAAATTGAAGCAATTATTAGAGTTAAAAAATGTGATCATAAAAAAAAGATCAACTCCAGCTAGATATATTAATTGTGATTTAAGAACCTTTGATTTAGGAAGTTTAGATATAAAGTTTGATGTTATATTAATTGATCCACCATGGAAAGAATATTATGATAGAAAAATTCATAATTTAGATGTATTAAATAATATAAATATTGATAATTATGATTTAAATCAAGATATAAATAATGAAAAAGATAAATATTGGTCCTTAGAAGAAATAGCAAGTCTAGAAATTGAAAAAATTGCTGAAGTCCCATCTTTCATTTTTTTATGGTGTGGAGTAACTCATTTAGAGGATGCACGATTTTTACTAAATAAATGGGGATATCGTAGATGTGAAGATATATGTTGGTTAAAAACTAATATAAACGAAAAAAATAAAAGAATAAAGTATTTAAATGAAATAAATAATGAAAATTCTTATTTGCAAAGAACAACTGAACACTGTCTGGTTGGCATAAAGGGAGCAGTAAGAAGATCATACGATATTCATTTAATTCATGCAAATTTAGACACTGACGTAATTATAGCTGAAGAAACTGATCAAAATATATATGATAATAATAAACCAGAAGAACTCTATAAAATTATTGAAAAATTTTGCTTAGGTAGAAGAAAAATTGAATTATTTGGAACCAATAGAAATATAAGAAATGGATGGTTAACATTAGGAAAAAATATTGATACTACTTTATTTAATAAAGAAGAATATATAAGTTGGTTTGAAGGAGATATAGCATGGCCAGAAGCAACCTCTTATATTGGTGGAAAATATATGGGAACGACAAATGAAATAGAAAATTTACGTCCTAAATCACCACCAAGAAATATGAACACATAAATATACTTTAATAGATAATTTATATACAATTGATTTGATAACTTTTTTTTTTTTTATTTTCATTTTATATATTTATTTCATTTTTTTTTTTTTTTTTTTTTTTTTTTTTTTTGTTGCAAAAATATTACTTTTTTATTTCTTTATTATTAACATGATTAAAGCATATCGTATTGAAAACAAAAATTTAGTTATGTTATATTCTTTTTTATATTTTTGTATTATATGTAGTATTGTCTCTATTTTTATTTGGCATACGTATTTTTATTTTAAATTATGTGAAGCTTTTAATAATCCAAAAAATGAAAAGAGAAAAATTATATTAATTTTTTTTGATAATATGAATATTTCTAAAATAAAGAAAATATAAGAAAAATACGTATGCACNATTTTTTTTTTTTTTTTTTTTTTTTTTTTTTGTATTTATTTTTGACACATTTATTTGTTCTTTTATTTGAAAGTAGAATTTAATAGTTTATGTAATTCAATGTATATTTGGTTCGTGCTTTTTCTTTTTGTTATGTTGAGAAACTTAAAAATAAAAATATATAAAATAATGAAAATAAAATTATATAGAAAAGTTGTTCTTGTATATATATAGAATGGTTTTTATAAATAATTAGAAATGTATTTTTTTTTTTTTTTTTTTTTTTTTTTTTTGTTGCAAAAATATTACTTTTTTATTTCTTTATTATTAACATGATTAAAGCATATCGTATTGAAAACAAAAATTTAGTTATGTTATATTCTTTTTTATATTTTTGTATTATATGTAGTATTGTCTCTATTTTTATTTGGCATACGTATTTTTATTTTAAATTATGTGAAGCTTTTAATAATCCAAAAAATGAAAAGAGAAAAATTATATTAATTTTTTTTGATAATATGAATATTTCTAAAATAAAGAAAATATAAGAAAAATACGTATGCACTTTAAGTTTTGAACTTCTAAACTATATCACTTCTTTTTTTGAAAGTGCATGAAACCTTTAGCATAATCTATCTTAATAAACGGACAAAAGTGCTCTAAAAAATTTAGTTAGTATAAAATTTTAATTTAATAAAAAATTAGATAATGCATAAATATTTTATTTTTAAGGAATATAAATGTAAATTGTATGTTTAATTTTTTTTTAAGTGAAATATAAAATTAACCCTAACATACATAAATAAAATTTTAGATGCATTATCAAATTTTAAACACATAATTTTAACTAATTTTTTATTAAAATCATACTAAATACATTCAATGTAAATTTTTATATTAATATTTTTCTCACATATATACATATAACTTTAAAAGAAAATAAAAAAAATTATTACGTTATTGAACTAATTCTTAAAAAAAAAAATGGTAATATTATTAAAAAAACTTTTACAATTTTTTTAAATTAAAGTAAAAAAAAAATATTTTAAAATTAATAGAAATTTGATGTTATACGTAAACACATATATATAAGCAATTAAAGTAAAATATAATATAAAATTTTTTTATATTTAAAAAAAAAAAAAGAAAAATATAAATTCATTATAACTCTTTTTACATAAATGTTATAATTAAGATATAACATTTTATATAAAAGGAATACATTTATTTTTTATTTAGTTTAATAATGATTCTCTAGAAATATTTGACAAGGAGCTCTTTGATATATTAGAAGATGAAAAAAAAAGACAAAAAGAAACCATTAATTTGATTGCATCAGAGGTAATATAGAGGATAAAAAAAACGTATGAACTTGTATATATATACATAGAGAGAAAACATATAAATTAAAATTATTTCTTTAAATATTTTTTTTTCTTTCTTTTTTTTAGAATTTTACTAATTTATCAGTGCGTGAATGTTTAGGACATTGTGTGAGTAACAAATACTCAGAAGGATATCCTCGCAAAAGGTATTATGGAGGTAATGATTATATTGATAAAATAGAGGATCTTTGTTGTAAGAGAGCTTTAGAAGTTTTTAATGTAAATGAAGAAGAGTGGGGTGTTAATGTTCAATCTCTTTCAGGTTCAGCTGCTAATGTTCAGGCACTTTATGCTTTAGTTGGAGTAAAAGGGAAAATTTTAGGAATGCACTTATGCTCAGGTGGACATTTAACTCACGGATTTTTTGATGGAAAGAGAAAGGTTTCAATCACGTCAGACTTATTTGAATCAAGATTATATAAATGTAATAGTGAAGGATATATTGATTATGACTCTATTCGCGATATCGCTTTAGAGTTTCGCCCAAAAGTTATTATATGTGGATATTCAAGTTATCCTAGGGATCTAGATTATAAAAAATTTCGAGATATATGTGATGAAGTAGATGCATACTTATTTGCGGATATTTCTCATATTTCAAGTTTTATTGCATGTAATTTATTAAATAACCCCTTCTTATATGCTGATGTTGTCACAACAACTACACATAAAACATTAAGAGGACCTAGAAGTGCACTTATTTTCTTTAATAAAAAAAGAAACCCTGGTATTGATCAAAAAATTAACAGTGCCGTATTTCCAGGTTTTCAGGGAGGTCCTCATAATAACAAAATAGCTGCTGTTGCATGTCAGTTAAAAGAAGTGAATTCTGATTTTTTCAGAAAATATGCTAAACAAATTTTACTGAATAGTAAAGCTTTAGCTAAATATTTAACTGATAATAATATAGATTTAGTAACAAATGGAACTGATAATCATCTTCTTTTAGTTGATTTGAGAAAATATGGTATAACAGGTTCGAAACTACAAGAAGTATGTAATGCTATTAATGTTTCCTTAAATAAGAATACTATACCTAGTGATGTGGATTGTGTTTCACCAAACGGAATTCGTATAGGAACACCAGCAATAACTACAAGAGGAGCTAAAGAAAATGATATGGAATTTATTGCACATATACTAGTCAAAGCAATCAAATTAACAGTAGAGCTACAACAGATATATGGAAAAAAGCTAGTAGATTTTAAAAAAGGATTAGTTAACAATGATGATATAGAAAAATTGAAAAGTGAAGTTATCGAATGGGTAAGTCATTTACCATTGCCATAAACCATTATAAAAAAAAAAAAAAAAGGAAATAATAAAAATTTTTTTTTCCAATTAATCATTTATTAACATAAATAATTGCATTTTTAAGAAATAACTTATATTTCTATTTATCTATACAATTTTATGTATAATAATTTCCATATATAATTATATATCTAATATTAAATATTTTTTCATATATATTCATAAAGTATATTATAAATATAATTATATATTTATATATATTGCTTATATTTAAAATTATTTTTTTATATAACTAAAGGTATATATTAAATATATATTAATACACTTTTTGTCATTTCACATAATTCACATGTGTATATATTTTCTATTTATGAAAACATAATAAGAAAATTTATTGTAGTACACTAGAAAAGTCGTATTACGAATAAAAAAATAAACACGCATAAATTTTTATATAATTATATTTTTTTATATGAGACTTTTTTTATTATGACAATTTCAAATTATTTTTGAAAATTTCAAAATAAAAAATAATAATAAATTTATAAAAAATTTATAAAAAATTTGGTATCGTTGAAAAAATTTTACCTATTTTTTTTTTTTTTTTTTTTTACACAATTTAAAGATTACTTTTATATTTAATAATAATTTCATAATATTTAATATTTTTGTGAGAATACATTAAATTCATGATTTCTTTAATAAGTAGATTAGATAATTTGTATATAAAAATAGTTAATAATAATAAAAGCCATCATTTAAAAACATACTAAATCTTTTTATATTATTTTAAATATTTGTAATTTTTTTTTATAACACCTTTTTAACACAGTATCAAAAAAAAAAAAAAAAAAAAAAAAAAAAAAAAAAAAAAAAAAAAAAAAATCAAATCAAATTAAGGATATATAAAAAAAAAAAAAAAAAAAAAAAAAAAAAAAAAAATCAAATAATAATAAAAATTAAAAAAAAAAAATTAAGGAATAAAAGAAATATTTATTTTTTCAAAAATAGTAAAGAATTTTGAAATAATACATCAAACATTTTTTATAATAAAATAAAAATATGTTCTTTTTTTTAAAAAAAAAAATAGTAAAATTTAATGAAATAAATATTATTTAATAAAAATTTTAGGAAAAAAATAAAATATAATCCTATATTAATATTATATTTTATTTAATAATAATATTAATAAAAAATACTATGTATAGTATTGATTAGCATATAAGAAAAAGTATATTTAACATCACATATAAAAAAAAAAAAAAAAAAATAAAAATAAAAATAAAAATAAAAATAAAAATAAAAATTCAATTACAGTAATGCATAGGTTTAAATTTATAAAAAATTGGAATTTTAGAAAATTTGGTAAATTAACAAATTTCCAAAATTCCAAAATAAACTATCGTTATATTAGCAGTAGTGAGAATGCAAATTTGAAAAAAAATATAGTAAATAAAAATAATGATGTAAATAATAATATTAAAACAGGAAAGATATCCCAAGTAATAGGAGCTGTTGTAGATGTAGAATTTGAAGATACTCCTCCAGCTATTCTAAATGCATTGGAAGTAGAAATAGATAACAAGAAGTTGATTTTGGAGGTAGCTCAGCATTTAGGTAACAAAGTAGTGAGAACAATAGCAATGGATGCTACAGATGGTTTAGTAAGAGGACAACAAGTAAAGGATAGTGGAAAGCCAATATGTGTACCTGTAGGAAAGGAAACATTAGGTAGAATTATGAATGTTATTGGTGAACCAATAGATGAGTGTGGTGATATTAAAAATAAAAAATTTTTGCCAATACATAGAGATCCTCCACTATTTACTGATCAAAGTACAGAACCTGCATTGTTAATAACAGGAATTAAAGTTGTAGATTTAATAGCCCCATATGCAAAGGGAGGAAAAATAGGTCTTTTTGGTGGTGCAGGAGTAGGAAAAACAGTCTTAATTATGGAATTAATTAATAATGTTGCAAAAAAACATGGTGGTTATTCTGTTTTTGCTGGAGTGGGAGAAAGAACAAGAGAAGGAAACGATTTATATCATGAAATGATAACAACTGGAGTTATTAAAAAAAAAAAAATAGGAAATGATGAATTTGATTTTAGTGGTTCTAAAGCTGCATTAGTCTATGGTCAAATGAATGAACCTCCAGGAGCTCGTGCTAGAGTTGCATTAACAGGTTTAACTGTTGCTGAATATTTTAGAGATGAAGAAAATCAAGATGTGCTATTATTTATTGATAATATTTATAGATTTACTCAAGCAGGATCAGAAGTATCTGCCTTATTAGGTCGTATCCCATCGGCTGTTGGTTATCAACCAACTTTATCTACTGATTTAGGTGCATTACAAGAAAGAATTACTACAACCAAAAATGGATCAATTACATCTGTTCAGGCAGTATATGTACCAGCAGATGATTTGACAGACCCTGCACCTGCAACTACTTTTTCACATTTAGATGCAACAACTGTCTTATCAAGATCTATAGCAGAATTAGGTATATATCCTGCTGTGGATCCTTTAGATTCTACATCTCGTATGTTAACACCTGATATTGTTGGTGCAGATCAATATCAAGTTGCAAGAAGTGTTCAACAAATATTACAAGATTATAAATCACTTCAAGATATTATTGCAATTTTAGGTATTGATGAATTATCAGAACAAGATAAGTTAACAGTTGCTAGAGCTAGGAAAGTTCAGAGATTTTTATCTCAACCATTTGCTGTGGCTGAAGTTTTTACTGGAAAACCAGGAAGATTTGTGGAATTAGAAGATACAATTAGTGGCTTTTCTGAGCTCCTAAAAGGTAACTGTGATGATCTACCAGAAATGGCTTTTTATATGGTTGGTGGTTTGGATGAAGTTAAATCAAAATCAGTTCAAATGGCAAAACAGTTATCATAATTAATGAATATTTATATATTTTATATAAATGATTATATATAATGATGAAATAGAAATTTTTAACTGAAAAGGAATCATTTTTTTTTTTTTTTATGTTCTCTTACTTATATATCTATAATTTAAAAATATTTATTTTTATTTAAAATATTTTTAAAATTATTATTTTTAATTTTTTTTTTATTTTTGTGCTGAATTTTATATATCATTTATATTTTTATATTTTTTACATATATATTTTTTATAACAATTTCAATATATAATAAAGTTCTTAAAAAAAAAAAAAAAAAAAAAAATAAGACTAGATTCTGAATTTTATTAATTTTATAATTATAAATTTATTATACTTGAGCTCAGAATAAAAGTTTAATAGATGTTTATTTAAAATGTATTAAATTTTTTTTTTTTATTTTTATTAATGAGAGAGATAACAAAAGGAAATTCATATGTATTCTTACATCTGGTACACATTATAAAGTTATTAAAAAATATATTTCTTTTAATATATTAATATAACTTAATTGCATTAGTAAAGGAATGATAAATGTATATATATTTAATATTCTAAAAAATAAAAGCTCTTTTAATATGATAAAAAAATTCATATATTTTTAATTAGGTAAATAATAAGCATTTAACAATTCGTTATTTTCTTTTATATATTCAATTAAATAATCTTCCACTTTTTTCTTAATAGAATTGGTTAAAAAATTATCTGAATCTCTAAAGAGTTCCTCTTTTATATATTTCTTAAATGAGTTTACATCATTGATATCCTTTTGTAAAAGAAAAAAAAAAATTGTACAAATATGAAAATATGAAATTATATATATAAATTTATTGTTTTTTTATTTTTCTACTTTTAGTAACAAATTTATAGATTCTTTAATTTGAGGTAAATTGATAACTTTATTTTTTAACTCTTCTTTAAAAAATTGAAATCTAAAAAAAATATTTGAAAAGGTAATAGAAAAATATATATGTATATATACTTTTTCAAGTATGTAAATTTAAATGTTTTATATTACTTATAATGAAAAATAGATTTTTCTCTTTCTTCATTTAGCAAATTTAAAATATCGTAGTGAGGGTTATTTTTTATATTTTTTAAAATAGCATAAAAATAATTTATTGACATATTGCAAAGTTTGTGTAAATTATGGAAATTCAATTTTTCACAACCTGTTATGACACATATATATATATAAAAATTTTTATTTAAATCATATTTTTATTTTTTTTTTTTATTTTTTTTCATATATACCTAAATAGGTGAAAGAATTTATTAAATTAAAAGAATTAGTAGTAATTTTACAATAATAACCTTCAATATCAATATTTTTTGAGATTTCAAAATATTTAACATTAAAATAATCATTTAAATTTTTTTCTTTTTTTACACTTATTTTTAATGTATCTGTTAACAATGCTACATTATATATCTCTTCTAAAATTCTTTTTTGTTTATCATTCTTATTTTCTATTAATGATGAATCATAATATTTGGATAAATCACCAATTGATGCTTGAAAATGATAAAAGTAAAAATCACATGGAAGGGTATTAAAATAAACTAAAGGCATTTTAAATATTTTTAATTTTTTATAAAGCTCAATACTATTATTAAAATTTTTTATTTCTTCTTGTTTTTTTCCATTTTCCTCTTTTACTTTCCATTCATTTACTTTTACTTCTTTTTTTATTTTTTTATTTTTCGAATTAAAAATATTATAAGATAAACAACATTGTTCAATGATTATTTTTAAAAATTTTTTGCTTACTAATTTTCCTATCTCAAAATTACTATAATATTCATGATTTAAAATATTATTTTTACTAATTCTATACTTATTAGAAAAAGAACATAGCTCACCTCCACTAAAAATATACTTATCATTTGTCTAGAAAAAAAAAAAAAAATATATATATATATATATATATATATATATATATATATATATATATATATATATATATATATATAAATTTTTAATTTAGAGGTTATCTTTTAATTATTCCTCTATTAATGCAATCAAAAGTTAGTAAATTTGTAATTTTTTTTTTTCTTTAGATTGCATTTAAAATATAAAAATATCTTTATTTAGAAAAGTTAACCTGAAAATTATCATTGACGCAAATCTTTTCATCATAAACAATTGATGATTTATTAAGAATGTAATACAAATGATTATTTATATCAAATATATATGAACATATTAATATTCTACATGGTATCAAAATATAATTTTTACATATAAATTTGTGTGTTTTAAATAATGATCTATCTATCTTTTTATGTTTACATAAATGTACAACTATATACTTTAAACGATTTTTCTTATTTTTTTTTATAGCTACTATTTTTCCATAAATTATCCTAATTTTCAAAAGATGAAATAAAAAAAATACTTTTTTTAATACATACTTAATATTATCAAATATAAAATTCTTGTGATAAAATTTTTTTTTTTCACTATCATCTGAAAACAAATAATTATTTTTTAGATGATTGTTATTATTATAATATGTTCTATCATTAAAAATAGTTTCTTTCATATCTTCCTTCATACGTTTTTCATCACATCTATTACATGTATACGGATAAATAATTATTAATTTATATGTTTTAATATTATTTTTTAAAAAAAAGTTTACCATATTCAAAATATCGACACTATTACTATAAAGAATAATATAATTAACACAATTTTTTACAATATTCATATATTTACTGTTTTTATCAAAATGTTTTTCAAGAAAAGGATCAGTAATACTGAAAACTCCATCAATATTCCTATTTACATTTGTGTTATTTATATTTATTTCACTATATATATTTGATAATTTTTTCTTATTATTATTTACATTTATCTTATCTTCTTTTTCGTCACATAAATTTTTGTCTTCATTATGTAGATCTGTTGTAATGTTTTCTCTTTCATTTTCTTTTTTCTTTTTAATAAAATCTGAGACAATAGAAATGTCTTTCCTTTGATTATTTTTTTCTTCATCAAATTTAAATTTTTTTTTTTCTTCATCAAATTTGAATTTTTTTTTTTCTTCATAAAAAATATCTTGCATTTCACTAGTTTCAGATGTTGGTAAACAATTGGATGATAAAGTTGTGTAACTTGATGAGTCATGAATATCTATATTATCATCTTCTATGTTTTTTTCTTCATTATTATTATCATAACTTATTTTCCATTTATCATTTTTTTTTTGTTTCTCATATTTGCATTTCTTTTTCATTTCTATTTTATTATGAAGTTCTCCTTTATAATAACATTCATTGTATTCAACATCAGTGGTATCTGATTTTTTTTTTGTTTTTTTTTTATTTTCATAAATATTGGATTCATAGGATTTGGAGCTTTCAGATAAACTATATTCTTTTTCCTTTGATGAATTATTTTTAGGTATAATTTTAGTTTTTTTTTTTTTTTTTTTTTTACAAAAAGATTCATTCACTTTTTCGTTGTTTTCATGTTTCTCATAATCTTTAGCTTTAATTAGAAAATCATATTTTTCATTTTTATATTCTGTATCTTCATTTTTTTCTACAAAATTAAAATTTTTTTTTTTTCCTAATTCATAGCTATTTAAATTAAAAGAATAAGTGGTAATATCTTCTTTATCAAAACATATGAATAAATAATCATAATAGATAAAATTTTTATTATTTAATTCAATTTTTTTATTTTCTCTATCAATGTTATAAATATTATCATAAATTATTTTTATTCTTTCTTTTATCATTATATTTCTTAATTTATTATACATAACTGAACTTTCAAGACTAAAATTTTTTAAGGAATTATTTTCTTCTATTTTATCTTCATAAAAATATTTATTTTTATAAGATATTATTAAAATTATATTATTAAAAAAATATTGATTATTAATTAACATTTTATAAAGTATACTTAAACAAACATCATTTAAACCCCAAAAGACTATATTATTATCAATGTTAACATATTTTTTAAGACACATTTGTTTAGTTAAAATTAAATATTTCTCATTATTTTTTTTTCCATTTTCAATTATTTTATTATTATCTGCTTCTTCATATATACTTGTCTTTTTGTATATACTTACACTGTTATCTTTTCTATTCAAAAATTTAAAATGATTATAAACATCACTAAATAAATTATTATTTATTGATATATGACAAGAACAAGATTTTGTTAATCTACAGAAAAAAATTACATATATCAATATATATATATATGTATATATATATAATAATTTATTTATATATTTATAATTGTTTAAATTTACACTAAAATATTATGAATAATTTTTTTGTCATAATATTTGAAAATAATTATGGAGGAGAAAAAGAAAAGAAGAAAATGTTTCGTATTATCATTATTATTTTGTAAAATAATACTTTTAAAATCAAAAATTTTCAATTTATAATAAAAATCAATATTATTTAGAATAGATCCTGTGGTTATATTAATTATTCTATCTCCACATCTACTAACAAATATGTAATAATTATTTATGTTATAAAATTCTAACTCTATATAAAAAAAAAAAAAAAAATATATATAAAATTTTTAAGTACCTTATATAAAATTATTTTTATTTTATTTTATTTTATTTTTTATAACCTATAAAGAAATTATCTGATTCTTCAAGTGCGTTAATACTTTGAGATTTTTTTTTACAGTATTCTTTAAGAGATAATATAATTTCATTAATTTTATGTTTTTCTTTATGATTTACTTCTTCTAATAATTTTTGAACATCATCTATATCATTTAATTTCATATAGTCAGTTAAAGGTTCTAGAAATAGTGTGTATTTGTTTAATATATACAATGATTCTAATGTATTTGCTTTTCTCTTTTTTTTAACTCTATTAAAATAATTTAATATAAATGGTATATTTCCTCTTTCATTATTTGTTGCAATAATATAGTCAACTTCATCATAATATTTTTCTATTTTTAATAATATTTCTTTACAGTGATTATAATACTAGTATGTTGAGGATTATTAAGAAAAAAAAAAAAATTTATAAAATAAATGATAGTATAAAAAATAATTCTAAATTAATATACAATTTTTTATAAATTTAACATATTATTAAGAAAAAAAGAAAAACATTAGTAGTTTTTGTTTTGTCTTTTTAATTACTTTGTCGTTTAAAATAAACAAATTTAAGGAAAACGCATTTTTATCTTTGTTGCTAAGATTAACCAACCAGTTAATGTGCTTATATTTGCATATAAAATAATTTTTTTTAATATTTATTAGTTCATCTAAGAATAACTATAAATAAAAAAATATAAAAAAAAAAAAAATTAAAAATAAAAAAATAAAAAAAAACTAATTAAAAAATTCTAGAATACTTTAAATGAAACGCAATCAAATATTGTTGTTTCTTCTATTATAATTAATTCATATAAGTCAAGAAACAAAAATAACAATATTATTTCATTCTAAGAAATTTTATAAAAAGAAGAAAAAAAAAAAAAAAAAAAAAAAAAAAATATAAATGAATATATTATTTTTATATAATCTTTATTATTTGTAAATACTTTATAACCTTAATTACTATATTACTTTTTTCTTTATCTTAAAAAGTTTTATATTTTTATATATTTACTTTTTTAAAAATTTCAGGATATATATTTTGTAATAGAAGGAAAACATCAAAATAAGACAAATTTATAACCTCCTTAAAGTTCTTTTCAGTCTTTTTGACATCGTTTTCATGATTAAATTTTATAATATTTATTTTACTACTATCTGTATAAAAAACATAATTTAAATGTATTTTATATCAATATTCATAAGTAAAATATATAGAAATATAATTAAATATAAAAAAAAAAATGAAAACTACAAAAATTAAAAAAAGTATATAATTAGGAATAGAAAAAATTATCTATTGCTAAAAAAAAAAAAAATTGTTTTAATGTATATAAATTAGTTGCATAATTTAACAGAATATATTAAGTAATACACTTAAAATTTTTATGGTTTGTTATTATTTCAAAATATTTTTTTTTTTATAATACTATTTTCAGATCCATCATCACTTTTTATTCCTTCTTTTTTTTTTTTTATCTTTTGATATATTTTTTTATATGTTTTATCATTATTAAAATTAAAGTATAACTTTTCAATTTTATCAAAATTATTGTAGAATTTTTCGCTAACTTTCACAATCTAATTTAAAAAGAAAGAATAAATGATATAAAAAAAGTATCAAAATAAGTTTTTTTTTTTTTTTTTTTCTCTATTTTGTTTAGATATTTTTAAGTTAACTATTATATTTATATTTTTTTTTTTATTTATTATAGTACATCTGAAAAACTTATGTTGGCATATAAATTTATTAACTTATTTAAAAGAAAAAAATTCATATCATTATTGTCTGTATCTTTTCTGTAATTTTCATAATCATATTGTAACTATATAAATGAAAAAAAAAAAAAAAAGAAAAAGAAAAAGAAACACATATATATATATATATATATATATATATTATAATATACGCACATAAAAAAAATATGTGCAATTCTAAATGTTTGTATGAATAATATAAATTAGCAACAAGATATACATATATATATATAATTTTTTTTTTTTTTTTTTTATAATCTTATACTTTATTATAAATATTTTTTATTATTATTTTTGTGTCTAAATTTTTCTTAATGAAATAATCAGCGTATATTTCTATATCTTCAATTAGATGTTCATTTAAATACTCATAAATAATTTGTTTATTAACTTCATAATTCTTTTCTAAATCTTCTAATGATTCTATTTTTATTTTCTTTAAAATATATTGTTTAAATTCTATATACAAATATTTCTTTTTTTTTTTATTCAAATTTTTATTTCCATACTTATATGATTTCTACAAATAAATGAAATTTAGAATACCATTTGTTTATTTATTTATATAATATATTTTTTTTTTTTTAATTATATTTTGTATACTAATGATTGGGTTATATCAGCAAAAAAATCATCTTTGATTAAATAATTATAATCTTTTAAGTTATACAAGTTAACTAAGATATTTATATCAATATTTTTTTTTAAAGATATAAATCCAATTATTTTTTTTTTATTATTTAAAATTGTAATTAATATATCATCATTTGTTTTTTTCTCAATTATATCATAAATAAGATATTGAGTTGTTTCTTCAAAATTATTGTATGAATATTTCTTAAACAGTTCATGTAAGTCATATATATCACTACTACAAGTTAGTCTCAAAAAAATTTTATTAACAAAAGAATATTTATTTAATATTATAACTTTTTTAAAAGGAATATTAACATTTGAGAATTGATTAACATCTATTATTAATCCATCTTGAAATTCTTCATATATTAATTTACATTCTTCTTTTAAAAATATTAAAATAAAAACCAAATCTTCAAAAGAATGAAATAGATAATAAAACAAGCTATTATAATATTTTTCATTTTTATTTATAATTAAGTTTATTATTAAAGTATTATTACAATTTAAATTAGATAAAATATTATAATTCTTTATATGTAGTGACAAAAAATAATAGAATTCTTTTAAATTAAATGGTTTCTTTTCATTATATTGACAACTATTTAAAGATAATTCATAATCAAGAGAAGTTATTCCTAGTATATTTTCTTCTTTTTCATTATTGTCTTTTTTTTTTTTTTCAAAAACTGTTATGCATATAGATGAATATTGTATTATATTTATTATTTTATTATATATCTCTTTAGATAAATCTGAAAAAGAATCATTTATTTTTTTTTTTTTATTTTCCTCACTATTTCCTATTTCTTCTTTTTCATTAATTTTATCTAATGAATATATAATATATTTTTCAATATCTTGTAATTTATCTTTTAAAAGCATTAAATGTTTATGCTTATAAAATTTAAATGTGTAATCCATCTTTTCATCTTTAATTTTTTTTCTATATTTACAAGTTTTACAAAAAAGGTATATGATTAATACGATTATAAAAAAGATTCAATTTATTTTAAATTTTGCACTTTTTATTTTTTACTTATTCTAATATATATTTAAATAATCTTTATAAATACATAAAAAAAAATAAAAAAAAATAGAGAAATTAGAAATTTAATCTCTAATTATTTTCATTAAGACAGAATAATTTATGCTTTATTTTATTTTATTTTATTATTATTTTTTTTTTAAATTAATAGAATTAAAATATAATTAAAAATCTTTATAATTTTTTTTTTTTTTTTTTTTTTCCCTTCTATATTAAATTATATACATATTTTATCTATTTTTATAATCAGCTATTACATTATTTTAATGTCATTTTATTTATATTTTTGATTTAATAAATAGTTAACGCACCGAAATCTTCTTAAAATTAATAAAAAATATATATATATATAACAAATACAGAAAACTCTTTAAAAATTATTAAAAAAAAAAAAAAAAACTAAAATAAATTTTAATGAAATATTAAAAATTATATACGTATATATATATATATATATATATATTTATATATAAAATTAAAAAAAAAACAAGTCTATAAAAAAATTACTTTCTTATTTGAAATTTTGTAATAATTTTCTTAAGTTTATTAATTATATATAAAAATATATATGCCATAAAATTTTTAGTTTTAATAATTATTCTTTTAGATTCTAATTGGATATACATTTTATTAAATTTCCTTAACTTTTAAAAAATTATTATTTTTTTTTTTATTTATTTTTTAATTTTTTTTTGAATCTGCTCTTCATTTTCAATCATTTCTTTTAATCTTTTTTTTGTATTTTCTATTCCATTCATTCCTGATTTTTCGTTTTTTTCTATTTCTTTAATATTATTAGAAGAATTCCTAATAAAAAAAAAAATATAGAAAAAGAAAATAAAGAAAATCAAAAAAAAAAGAGCAAAGTTTTATTTTATAAAAATCTTACGAAAAAATATTTAATACACTTCTTTTAATTCTTATCATATCTCTAAATGTGTATTCATTTCCATGAAGTACTTCAAATTCTCTCCACGCCTACAAAATAAATAAACAAATATATATACAAGATTAAATATAAGTATTATTAATTATATTTTGTAAATATTATTACTTGATAAAAATCTGATTGTGTTAAAGGATTAGTAAATTGAGCTGTATATATATAAAGAGCTCTTACACGTTCATATTCATTTAATTTATATTCCATATCAATATATAACATACACATTTCCCTTGCCTATATATATAAAAAAAAAAAATAAAGTAATATATATATATATATATATATATATGTAAATATATATACAGTTGTTAAAAAAAAAAATTTACATAAAAGGAAAAAATATATATATTTATTTATGTTTACATTATCATCTTTTAATGTTTGAATTGCTTCTTCAAAAGCTTCTCTAGCTTTATGTACTCCATATGATTTAGAAACCTAAAAAAAAAAAAAAAAAAAAAAAAAATAATAAAATAAAAATAAAAAAAAAAAATAAAACATTTTCTTAAAAATATAAAATAAGTATTTTATAAAAGTAAAAATATTTTGATGAAATAAAATTTTTAAAAAATTTATTAACCTTAGAAATAAAGATTTTATAAAATTTAATTTTATCATTTTCTTCCAAAAAAGGTATAGCTTCTTTATAAATACTTAAGGATTTTTTTAAAAAACCATAATTCTCTTCAAACATTGCATACATTAAAAAAATATATTTCGCAAATTCTTTGGGTATATAAGTTTTGTTATCCATTCCATATATAGCTTGTTTAAATAATTCACGAACATAAGAAATATTTTTATCCTTGTATCTTTCAATGTATTTATTAATGTAGTTAATATAAATTGGGTATAAATATGGATAGTTAAATAAGGAAATAGCTTTTTCATAAATTTTAAAACATTCATTAAAGTACTTTTGTTCATACAGATAATTCGAAAAAGATAAAACCATTTTAACGGTAATACTTTTAGAATGATATAAAAGATCAAACAAATTCAAAGAGGTTTCAATAGTACCATAATTTATTTCCATATCTAATATTAAACAAACTAATTTTATTGAGTTTAATAAATTAAAATTTGTATGTATTTTCCCATTTAAACCATTAAATGATTCTTCATTTTTGTTTTGTAAAGTTTTTTTATGTGAATCTCTACTGATATCAATGGATAATCTTGCTATATTTAATGCTTCCTTATAATTTTTTTGAAGTAATTCTAACTCTACCCATGAACAAAAAATACTTGCTATTTCATTTAAACTTTTAAAATTTTTTTCTTCTATAGCTCTATAAAAAATTTTTTTTGATTCATCATAATTGTTATTGTTATAATGATAATATGCATAAGTGATATATATATCACTTAGTTTTCCAGAATAATCATTATTCTGAAAATATTCTAAACATTTATTAAATAAATCAATTTTTTCATCTTTATCCTCTATAGCATCTATTTTACTTAACCAAATATACACATTATTTTTGTTATTCTTTAGCTTAATATCAGCTATAAAAGTTTTTCTTTTATCAAGCAAATAATTTATTTTTTCTATATATAAATCTATCAAAAAATTATCATTAATTTTTTTTGATTTTTTTAATTTTTTATTATTTGATGAAGTAGAAATAGCTGAATTTTGATCATATTTATCATCATTTTCTTTTTCATCTTGACTTATTTCTTCTTCATCTTTATCATCATTTTCTTTTTCATCTTGACTTATTTCTTCTTCATATTTATCATCATTTTCTTCTTCATTTTTATCTTCATCTTCTTCATCTTCTTCTTCATCTTCTTCATCTTCTTCTTCATCTTCTTCATCTTCTTCTTCTTCTTCAATATTCTCTTCTTCATTTGTTTGTTTCTTTTTTTTTTTTTTTTTTTCTTGTTCATCAATTTTTAAATCTATTAATATTTTTAATGTTTCAATATAATTTTCAAAAAGATTAGAAAAATCATTTATAGTATAACATTCAGAAAATCCTTCTTCATATATATCCATTGCTTTATTCCATCTTCCTTCATAAACATAATTATTAGCTAAAAGTATATATATAGATGTAATATTTTCATAATTTTTCAAAACATTTAAATTATTCTTTAATATTTCTACAACATCATTATTTAATACTTTAGTAGAATTAATTAAATTAAAAATTTCTTTATATAAATCATACTTTGATTTATTTCCTAATTCTAAAGTTTCTTCACAATTTAGAATAAAAAAAAAAGTGTTAATTGCATGTTTATGCATTTTATATTTAACATAATGATTAAATAGCAAAATTATTTGTTCAGGATAAATTGTTACATATCTTTTGATATATTCATAATTAATCAATTTGTTGTTAATTTTTTCATTATATTTTAACTGGTAATACCATATATCTTCTTGTTGATTTAAAAAAACATTCTGTAAAGATTGATTGAATATTTCTCTTATTTTTTGTATATTTCTTTGAATAAATAAAAATTGAATATACATAATGTAAATAGACTTAAAATGATACATATATAAAAGACATTTTTCAAATATTGAATTGATTCTTTTATATTCTCTTTTATTATCATAATATATATCCCTTATCATTTCTATATTGTCTTTCAAATAATTATACCACAATTTAAAACTAAATGGAAAGTATTTTAAGATAATTTCATATATTTTAAATAAATAATATTTAAACATATTAAAATTTTTTTCATTCTCTTCTTTTAAAAAATTATCAGAACTTTCATTCATATTTTTTTCTTTCTTTGAATTATTTTTATTTATTATTTCAGTAATGCAATATTCAATTATATTATTATTTGTCTCTAATATATTACTATTATCATTTCTTAAATGTATATCATAGAAATTTAAAACATATAAGCTATTTTCATTTTTTATGTTTTTTTCTTTAAATTTATTTATATATAAAAATAAATATTTAGTTGATATTTTTTCTAGATTATTTTTTATATCTAATTCTATATTTTTTACATAATTATCATTTTCTGTACAAACGTTATCAATCAACCTTTTTTCAAGTAATTTATCTTCATCACATATATTTCCTTCATTAAAGAAGTCATCACAGTCATATAACTCTCCATATAATTCCATTATTATATTTTTCTTTTCATGATCTTATTTATATTATCATCAGTCAATTAGTTAAAAAATACCAAAAAATATATCAAAATATATTATACAATTTTTTTTTTTTTTTTTTTTTTTTTTTTTTATTTTTTTTTTTTTTTTTTTTTTTTTTTTTTTTTTTTTTTTTTTTTCATTTCATATTGTATATTAATTTACGTTTTAATTAAGAATATATTAATTTTTTAAATATATTAGATTTCTCATTTCCAATCAAAAAACAAAAAAAAAAATAAATTAAAATAAAATAAACTTAAAGTTTTTATTTACTATTAAGGTTTTTTAATTTAATTAGTTAAATTTTTATTTGTTTATTTTTTCTTTTTTTTACCTAATGCTCCGTTTAAAAAAATGATTTTTATTTTTGATTAAAACAACCTAATATATATTAAGATACCATTTAAAAAAAAAAAAAAAAAAAA